GGTTACGATTACTTCTGCCCAGAGTAGTAATGCATTGATACGAGTATTGGTGCCGATACTGGGCATTTTCACAAATACTACATGCCGATACGTGCACTTTTCCTTTTTTAACTGAAGTGGCTGCCTGAGGGGCCGCGCTTGCCGGGGACCTCGGCAGCCTTCCTGTGAACCACGGCACCTGTTTCAGTGCCAACCACACATATTCTCCTCCTTCCCCACCATGCAGCACTGCTTACAGTGCAGAGTCTACCTGCGAGATTCTTCGGACCCCTGGTGAGACCCCTCACAGCCCACCTGAGACCCCGTATGGCCCTCCTGAGACACACACAGCCCACCTGAGACCCTGCACAGCCCTCCTGAGACCTCACACAGCCCTCCTTAGACCCCGTATAGCCCTCCTGAGATACACACAGCCCATCTGAGACCCTGCACAGCCCTCCTGAGACCTCACACAGCCCTCCTGAGACCCCGTATGGCCCTCCTGAGACACACACAGCCCTCCTAAAATACCGCACAGCCTTCCTGAGACCACGCACAGTCCTTTTGGGCCCCGCACGGCCCACCTGAGAACCCGCACAGCCCACCTAAGAATCCCGGATGTCTTCTTTTAAAAAGTTGCATTTGCTGTATACTGTTGCATGTCAGGAATGTATTCAGACTTGTAATGTTACCGAAATGGCCACTGTAGTTTTCTCCCTTTATATTTCATACTGTTGCTCTGTATCAGTTATGTCTGTCACACCTAACTACCACAACCTAACTTCCTAACACTGGCTTGGCAACATATATACGCTATTTGGTGCTGGTGTTGTAGAAAATATGTTTGTTTTCAAAAATTGTAAGGTATTTATTTAAGAAGTCTGATAGAAAATATTACAAGTCCTCTTCTTTTACCAGGTGGAGAAGAAAGAGGATGCTGACCAAAAAATCGAACAAGATGCAAACAAACCAGAGGACAAAGCTCATAAAGCCGCTACCAAAATCCAGGCCAGCTTCCGCGGACACATAATCCGGAAAAAACTCAAGGGGGACAAGAAAGACGAGACTTCTGGAGAGGTGATGGAGAACCACAAAGAGGAAGCCAAGGAGGATGCAGAAAAAACAGAGAACGAGGCCCCCAAAACAGAGGAACCCACCAGCGATGGACCTTTGTCTGAAGAGGGCAAGAAGAAGGCCAAGAGCTCTTCGGAAGACAAAAAGCCAGAAGGGGGTTCAGAGGGGGAAGCCAAAAACACAGAGAAGTCCACTTCGGAAGAGAAGCACGCGCCCGCGGAGTCAGAGGGCACCGTGAAGGGTACCAGTGAAAACTCCTCGGGAGGTGACTCCAACCAAGCAAAGGATGAGTCCAAACAAGCCAATGTGCCTGCCGCTAGCCCAGTAGCTGCTCCGGCAAAAGAGGAGCCCAAACAGGAGAAGGTGGAGAGCAGTCAAGATGAGGAAAAGAAAGGAGGTAAATTTAACATGTTGGCTATAGAACTGTATTTTGGGTCTAAGGGTTGACCTGGAGGGCTTGCTACTGGTAATATTTGTTACATGGGTTAAAGTGCACCTGTCCTTTCCCTAAGCATGCAAGTATAGTTCTACAATATATCACCAAATGTTTGTGAACACCTGACCATCACACATACGCACATACTATATGGCCAAATGATTGAGTTCAACCGTTTTCAGTGAAGGGTGCTGTTAATGCTGCAGCGTTCAAAGACATTTAGATAGTTGTGCTCTTCCCATCCTGTGGTAACAGTTTGAGGAAAGTCCTTTTTTGTTTTAGCGTGACTGTCTCCTGTGTACAACGCCAGCTATATAAAGACATGGTGATGAGTTTGGCATATTATTATTATTATTATTATAGAGGATTTATATAGCGCCAACAGTCTGCGTAGCGCTTTACAATTTAAGGAAGAGGGCTTACAATGTCAAGGAGAGGGGCCAGTGATAAATGAGGAGGTAGCTGTGTGGGGATGAATTGTTTGAGAACGTGATGGTTCAGTGGTTAGGTTGAGGTGGGATAGGTTTCCCTGAAGAGATGAGTCTTAAGGGATCGCCTAAAGACAGTCGGAGTAGGAGATAGTTGGACAGGTTGGGGTAAAGGGTTCCAGAGGGAGAGACTCTAGAGCAGTCCTGGAGGCGAGCATGGGAGGAGTTGACGAGGGAGCTGGAAAGCAGAAGGTTTTTGGAAGAGCGGAGAGGACGGTTAGGGTGATACTTTGAGACAAGGTTTGAGATACAGCCGGGGTGAATTGCTTTGCAAGTCATTGTTAATATTTTGAATTTTATCCTTTGGGCTATTGGAAGCCAGTGTAGGGATTGGCAGAGGGGGTGGGGGATGGAAGCCAGTGGAGGGATTGGCAGGGGGCGGTTGCAGAGACTGAGCGGTTGGTTAGATGGATGAGTCTAGCAGCAGCATTCATGATAGACTGAAGGGGGAGGAGCCTGTGTAGTGGAAGGCCAATGAGGAGGGAGTTGCAATAGTCAAGACGAGAGATAACAAGTGAGTGGCTGAGTAGTTTTGCGGTTTCATTGGTGAGGAAGGGGCGTATTTTGGAGATGTTGCAAAGGCGAAGGCGGCAGGATTTGGATAGTGTTTGGATGTGGGGCAGAAAGGTGAGGTCCGAGGCATATGGGAATTCAAGTGGCCTACAGAGCCTTGACCTCAACCCTTATAAACACCCTTGGGATGAGTGGGAAGGCTGACTGAAAGCCAAGTCTTCTTCTCCAACATCAGTACCTGATCCCACAAAATGGTCGAATGGACACAAATTCCTACAGATACCCTCCAAATTTTGTGAAAAGCCTTCCCAGAGGAGTGGAGGCTGTTATAGCCCCAAAGTTGGGACCAACTCCCCAATAGCAAAGCCAATTCCTATGGCTTCGGAATGGGATGTCCAATGAACTCATTTAGTAGGGTGGTCAGGTGTCCACAAACGTTTGGCCTTATAATGTATATTTTATAGATTCTCTAAAGAATATAAAAAAGACAGGTAAGGACCACCGGTGAAAAGTAGGTAGTGTAGTATATTTGGAAGTGATGAAGAACAAAGTGGTAAGGAATACTGCTAAATTTGGCCTTTACTAACATCTAGATGGTTGCTAGGGTCAAAGAGGAAATGGTTACAACAACGTGGGCTTGTGGAAAACATCTTGGTCTCCCTTCTATGGTTGCACTCAATGCTGATGGGGAGTGCCCAGAAATGAACAATGGGAGTAGAGGTATGCTGGTGTGGATATACTAATAAGAGAAGAAAAACACTGAAGAGAGCAGTGCAAAGATATCTGTCAGAAAAATAACATGAGTTGTGCATCAAAACAAAAAGTTCTGCAAGGTCTAACAGTGTGTTTCTTTAAAACTAGCCACAGGCTGAGTTGAAAAGTCTGTCCTCTGCCAGCATGCCGCAGAGAAGGATTCTGTGTGTAAGCAGTGGTCTCTCTGCTAAGGTTCGATGAACCCACAGTTGAGTCAGACCATTAGCTCTTCAATCAGCAAAGCTCATTCCTCCTTCTGATTGGAGACATCTAGCTATAGTGGGACAAGTCAGACCTCTGCAGATAGACCATTGCTTCCACAGATAGTGCAAGGGTCTTTCTCTGCCACATGCTGGCCGGGGACAGGCTCTTCTACTTAGACCGTGGCTGGTTTTAAAGAAAACAAACTAATACATTGCACACCCTTTGCTTTGATGCGCTTGGAAAGTTAGGCTTTGAATGCCAGAAATGATTGAGCCCTCATCTGCCTCTGCCTCCTGGAGCTCCTATGTGCTGTTCTGAGCGACATCTTCAAGGTTTCTATTCTCAGATTCTGATACGAGTCTTTAGCGCTGGTCCACACTGATTAAAACTTAAAGGAGAACTATGGGGTCAGGGCTTTTCCCCATAGTTCTCCTTAGGGTAACGGGAGGACACAAACTAGCGTCCTCCCGTTAGCCTAAGCTCAGTATACCGCGAGCTACAGCTTGCGGTATACTGAGACGCCGCAGCCGGAGCGGATCCCGACATCGATGTCGAGATCCGCCCAGCTGCGTGCCCGCCCCCTCCCCCGTCCCTTCCGCCAGTCAGCGCTGGTGGATCGGAGCGGGGGGAATCCAGCCCCTCCCCTGTCACTGCAGAGAGCCGTGACAGGATCGAGAGGTGATCGAACGCCGATATATGTTCGCTCACCTCCCGATCTACTGAGCCGACCTGTGACAGTCTCATTGTCACAGGTCGGCTAGAACTATGAGGTGAGTGAAAAGCACTCACCTCATAGTTCTCCTCTAAGAGCCGTATGGGCACATCCATGGGCCAGCACACCCTTGACATTGCCCCACAATCATCAAAGTCACCCTGATGGAGGAAGCTGGCGTTTACTACATAGAGATATGAGTCTGTCCCTGCACAGCCTGGCTTTGGCACTGCTTAAAAGGCAGAAGGACCTCTCAGCTACCACCATCGCATATCTCATATGTACGTATCTGTCTTCATCCAGCACGGCTCAGCCTCTAATTAATAGTTTATTGGCTCCGGGATCGTCATTGCTAAATCCGAAGGTAACTGGCGCTCCTCCAGTGCCAAGGCTTGGCGTTCAGCTGCCAAAATCAGTCATAAAATGTGGTCAGCTTAAGGACATTGTAAATAATTGAGGTTTACATCGAGGAACCATTAAAAGGCCAATAAACCTAAAATAGAATCCTTTCCATGGTGAGTAAGTCTAACACAGGCATGTGCGCGCGCATTTTCCCTCCAGTTATTTCTCTCCGGGGCCTTCCATGTGTATATTTTTGCACCTTTCTTGTGTGTTTTATTGTGTGAATGGGGACGAACATTCTGAATATATGACCTTCCTCTGGCTTCATCTTGCTAAGAGAAATATCAGCTGTTGCAAAATAATTATTTTAAGGGTGCTGTAAGGAGCATGATCGCGGAATTCTTAGTTTATAGCAGTGATCCCTAGCAGTCTAATGTTCCAAGTCTCCAATGACTCCAGTCAGGGCCGGATTTCCCACAAGGCCAACCGAGGCCCGGCCTTGGGGCAGCAGGGAGTAGAGGGGCAGCAGGGAGTAGAGGGGCAGCAGGGGTGTGGAATTCCTATCCCCCGACGCCCGGGACATGCAGTTGTTTTTTACATTTAGCCCTGCATTAGGCAAGCAGAGCTAAATGTACAGCGGGGAAGCCGCCGCTTGTTTTGTACATGTGATCTCAGTGATGTTGCCAAGATCACTTGTATGCAGCCTGCAGGTCTGCCATTCCCCAGTGAGGGGTAGTGGGGTAGGGGGGCGCATTGAGAAACCTGGCCTTGGGGCAGCAGAGAGACTCAATCTGGCCCTGACTCCAGTACTATGTCGACAGTTTCTGACTATCTCCTGTAGTATGTCTGCAATCTTTGACCATCTCTTGTAGCATTACATTCACTGAATATTATGTGCGGCCCTTTGGTGATGTCAGTATTGAGCAAATCCAGTCGCTTTTTATGTTTTTTTTTTTACAGTTTCTGTTTTTCTTAAACCTGTATTGAAGCTGCCAGTTTACTTCCCAGTTTCAACTTCACCATCAAGTAGATCCTAGTGGTCGGTGGAGTTGATGGGTGGCAGATGGTTTCTTTTTGGCAATCATTAGCTCAATGCTCAGTGTATGGAAAGTGGTTAACATTGGCTGAAAATTGTCATGTGTATGGTCAGCTTTAGGGATAGGTGATAATTGGGGTGAGGGGTGGGGCAGGATGCAGTATATATTGTATGTATATAATATACACTGAGTGGCCAGATTATTATGACCACCTGACGTTTGTAGGCAAATTAGCTATAATTTGGCGCTGAAGTTGCTAGAGGGCTGTGAGGGTTGAAAGTTTTGCCCTCAACTGCACGCCACCAACTGTCTCAGGGCAGGAAGGCATGGCACCAACATACTAGTATAGTTAGTTAGTAAATACATATGTAATATGATAGGACAGTAACAATTCCAGGACACGCAGAGAGCCAATTGAGGAAGAATCAGAAGAACCCTTATTTATAGGGCTGAGATATTTCCTGTCATCCTGGAGAACTGTAGCATTTTGGGTATGTCTGTCGGATTACTGGTAGCGGGAGGTCCTTCCATGATTAATTCCTCCGTAAATCTGCCCCACGCTCCTCAAACGAAGCAGGTTTAATTTTCCGTCTGGAGTAAGTGGCTTCCGGGAGGAAAGTGACCTGATTCTCTGCTTGCCAGACGAGACCCGCTACTTAGGGCATGTCAACTCGATTTAGCCAACGAATAGATCATATCAATATGTGACCGTTGGGGAAGCCGAACCCCGGGCTGGAAATCTGTATTTAAGGTCAACCTAAAATCTATACAAACACTCAACAATTCCAAATCCACTCTAACCTAATGTGTCATGTTCTCTGCCGTAATATTATAATGAGGACAGCACTTCTAGGTTACCTCCAGCTCTGGTTTTAGAGTGGATCCATGTGTGGGCAATTCTATTGATTAGCT